TCTAATCAAGCCTCCCAAGCACTCACGGGAGTTCTACGACCAGATCTGGTGATCAAAGAGGTGGCAGTGTGGATCCGCCTGGCAATCCAGCGCCACTTAGGCGGGAATCCCCCTCGTGTCCCCAGAGCGGCCCACTAGCGGAGCCGGAGACCAGCACAGAGGGGAACAATGCCAGGTGTCCTGGGTACCAGCATTGGTGCTCCCACGCCTCGGAGGGGATCCTGCAAATATGCCCATCCCGCCTGCACCTCAGCGGTCCCAACTGCCGATCGGGAGGCAGGGAGGCTGGATGCCGGAAAGGGACACGGGCGGAGAGGACATCGACCCACAAGTACACCAAGCAGAACCTGCCTGCTTGCAACTCACCAAACCCAAGACCGTCTGACCAGTGCGGCACGAAGCACCAGCTCCAGGATCACGCTGCACTCCAGGATCACGCAGCACAAGAGACAACCTCGCTGACAACTGCAAGAGCTGTAATCGGGCCCAGGATCTCCGCCGAAGGGGCCAGCTGTGCCTGCAATCGAGACATTCCCACACTGGGCATCAGCTGAAATGCCTTTCACCCTGCCCTCAGCTGACAGACCTTGAACTGATCCGTGTGGGCACACGCCTCGGCTGTCCCAGCTGCTGCCGGAATACCCTGATACCTTGTCGGGTTGGTAACCCTTGCATCACTGAACTCTCTTGTATCTGGCAAGGGGAGACTTTTGCCAATGTTATAGTGTATTAGTTGGTACATGATCACTGTGACCTACGTTTAGTTTAACTCTCATTGCTTGTTTTATGCCCTGCTCGGATGACTCACACATGGGTGCGATCACCCAGAGAAACTGCCTAACAGGGATATACACAAGAGCCTGCTAAAACTATAGTGAGCCTGTTCTAAGTATCCCTACCCACCACACTTAATGGGTTACCTAGGTCACCCTAAGCAGGTCTCCATAATTGGCCCAAGACTGTAAATATATGGGATCATTGTGGTCTGCCTCCCTAGCGACCTTCATTAAAGATCCTAATGACATCCTTTACATTATGCAACCACCCCACCTGCATTAGCACAGATTCATAATACCATATCTGTATTCCACCTTGTACCTCACTGTAATCGTTAAGCGCTTTGGGGCAAGCGACACTAAGCTAAATGGATGCAAACGTTTATACTTACCTTACATATGCATTTGTTTGAATTATTAGAAACTTTAGCATAAAATCATATCTCTTCTCTTGACATAACGTTTCAGTTTTCGCCTGTCTTTAATATAAAAATGTGCTGTTTAATTGTATGCCATACCAAATTCATTGCTACTACCCAGCTTGCTATTGCTGTTGTGGCATCGCAAAAAAATATTCACTGTCTTTTCATGCACAAGAAAAATAAAGAATTTTAAAAAAAATGTTATATGGCTGAATGTGTGAATATGGCATGATGAGTGGTTTCCCGAAATAGACTCATTAATCCTAACACATACACACCCAGCCATAATACACTTTGTGTGAAAAATACATGATAAAAGTGTAAGTTATATTATTTTGATGCACTAAACATTAACTTAACTTGTGTGGACATGCCACGTGTGAGCAGCTGTGTGCGGTCGAGGTAACTTACACTCACTGTAAAGACATCAATGGGACATTGTAGGAGACTACTGGGCAGCATGGACAGTTAAACCTATTTTAACCCCAACGGCCCTTTAGAATAGTGCAATGCTTAGCAATATGTGTGGCACATACCCTTTCATAGTCCCAGGCCTATCTCCTGGTTTCCCAAGTAGCCAGTTAATTTCAATGCCATCCTGAGACCAAAGCCTTGTGGGGAGTCCAAACCTGCACAAATATGTGTAATTCACACAAGAGTGTAATATATCATGTGTTGTTTTAAATTTACCTAATTTTAAGACCTGCTAAGGAACAGATGATTGTTATTATGTCCTGGTATTTAAAACCAATTCAAAGAGAGTGTACTTTATTTTACCCATGGCTGTATATATACACACACACATATATATATATTTATATATATATATATATATATATATATATATATATGTGTGCATGTGTGAATGATCTGTAGTGCAGTGCAGTACTTTACACAAAAGAGTGAACTGTATTTTTGCATTTGCACTTAAATTCACTTTATTTGAGTCAATTAATGGTGTATTTTGATATGTATTTATATATACAAGAACAGAGAATATGAGAACTATGAGGATGGACAAAAGCTTAGAGGAAATCAGTAGCTTCAGTAAATCCCAACTCAGGTTTCAAAATAGTTTTTTGCTTACTTGTGCCAGTACAGAGAGAACATATTCCAAAGCATATCAGGTTCATCCCACCCATAAGAGTAGTCCAGAACTGAAATGTCAGTAATGCGGACAGCTCCTCTCTGCACAAGAGATGCAGCAACCCTGGACAATTGTTTTGTCCTTCTATGGGCCTCGTCAGCGAGGTGTAGTTGATACACCTCTAGGCACAGTGAGCACAGGGTCCACGTCTGGATTACCCAGACTGCATTACAGTGGACCTTTTCGCCTACAGGATCAATTATTGTCAAGAATCCTCACCATCTGATCATTCAAGAACATTTACACTTGGTGGCCTGGATGATTTCCGGGGATCCTGACATATCAAGGGGCTATCACAGATGACTAAGGACCCATAATGGGATTCCTATGCATTGGGCATGAGACATTGTAGCTGTCCGCATGGAATTCATGGAATAGTTGGTGTTTGGAGAGGATTCTTGATCCTTTACTGCACCTTTCCCTGCTGTTCTAAATTTTCAATCTTATCTGTTTTTATGAAAATCATACCATTATATTAAATCACTTGATCAGCAATTTTTGCAGCTCACACCCGAGTTCTGGTGATTACTATACAACAGAATGCTTTGGTTTTTAGACTTCTACAAGGCACCAAAATGACTTATCCTACGGTTCCCAAACATTCCCAGCTTTGGGACATTGATGCAGTCCTTGAATTCTTAAAATATTGGCCTCTTAAATGATCATCTGTTTTTACTGCAACTGTCAGTGAAATTGACGCTTCTATTGTGTCTTGCTTCCTTCCATCGGGTTTACCTGAAGGCGTGTCCTTTATTATAAAATGTAGGACTAAGTTGAAATATTATATCCCTTCTTTGGTGATGTCCCTTAACAAGGGTTGGCCCAAGACATTGTGCTGCCCTGGTCCTAGAATTAAATTCTGCCCCACACCATCCAAAACAACGTCCACCAAAACACACCAACATCTGTTATGCAGATTGTATAGTGAATACAATGTCTGTGTATTGTATGCAGTGTGTATGGAATGCATTGTGTGAGTGTGTATAGTGGAGGCAGAGTGTGTAGTGGATTAAATGTCTGTGAGTCCTGAATGTAATGTTTGGGCTTGTGTATTGTATGCAATGTGTGTAGTGGACGCATTGTGTCTGTGCATATATATTTATATATATAGTGTGTGTTTGTGTAGTGGATGCAGTGTGTGTTTGTGTAGTGTGTGTAGTGGATACAGTGTGTGTGTGTGAAGTGCATGTAGTGTAAAATGCTGCCCCTGTCTAGGTGCTGTCTGGAGCCATGGCTCCACTGGGGCCAATGTATGTGCTGACCCTGCCCTTAACTTTTCATGATAAATTGCCTTCTTCGTTACATTGATTCTACTTCTACTCTTCAACTTCTGCATTTGGTAAACTCCTCATCTCATATGTTTGTCCTCATAATTCAGTTTCCCCTAGCACTCTCGCAAGATGGGTTTTGTCCTTAGTGGGTATAGATCTCTTGTTCAGTGTGCATTCGGTACGCAGTGTGGTGGCATCTGGGGCTTCACTGTCAGAGAGTCAGATATTCACTACGAACAGCCATTGGACATTGGGAGGATGCTTTATTTACGTCTTTCAGCTCACAATTCTTTTTTCCTTGTTTCTTAGCATTAAAGTTGCTAAATATAAGGCCTCATGTCATGTAGTATAATTGTAGATTTTGCTAGCTTTAGTGTACCTATAATCTTAATTTTAGTAATGACAGACGGTAAATATTTTCCATCTCTTCCCTATCCTAGAGATTTTTCTTTCGTCTTTATTCATTTTTTTTGTAAGAGTTATATTTTGCTAATGATATTTTCTCTTATGTTTCCTTTCCATATAGTGTTAATCAGATTAAATTTTTATGGTTTAGACTTTGTTTGCTATTGATAGAGTAATGTTTATATTAGATTATTTAAATAAATCCTTATAATTCGAGGATTGTTGTATTTCAATAGTTTTGGTTGAGATCCTTTCACAAATTCTCTCTTTTGTTTTGGTATAAACTATTGGTGAGCTTCAACTGTGATGTTTTGAAGAATATCTTATCGGTCTGGTACTCATATATTCTGAATTTTTCAAAGTTTACCCCTTTTCTAGCAGACTCTTCAACGTTTTCTTCATTGTTATTTTGTACCTAAGATTGTTTGATGTTTTCTGTTGTTATAGCATTTGTTTACCTTTCACATTAAAGAAAGAGGAGGGTCTTATTCGGACAACACTTTATATAGCATGTAAGCTCATCGAGCAGGGCCCTCAACCCCCTCTGTTCCTGTACGTCAGTGGTCTGATCTCAATTATGTGTCTGTTAGTCCACCCATTGTACAGCGCTACGGAATTTGTTGGCGCTATATAAATAATAAAATAATAATAATAATAATATAACCGCCTTTCGGTTTTCTTACTAGTTATTGTATGTAATAGTTACTGCTGTAGTAGTTACGTAAAAAGAGCTAAGCTAAGTACGCTCTGTTTGTATATGTAAGTGAAATACTTTCTTTTAGCTATCGCCTGGGTTTTTTTCTTGCTTCTTGGAGCCATTCATCTGTAAGTCTTTATTTTTGGTTGGAGGCACTATACCAAGAGAAGACCATGCTCAATGGACAGTGCATTTTTGGCATGTGCAGCTTCTACCTGACTTTGGATATATTGAGATCTGCTTACTTGATAAATCAGAAGCTAAACGCAAAGACAACTATCGTTTTTTAAAAATACATTTTTCTCTATTTTGATTGTTGTATATTTCAAAGAGGATTCATGTTTTTTTATTCCGCTGGGACTTTGCCATGGCTGGAATGCAAGGGTACATTTCACTTTTTTAAAGTTTCATCTCCAATGTTTACACAGGTCATTAATCATTTTATTTTGTGCTATTATACAAACAGACAAACAGTGCCTTCTATTTGCATTTTTTTTTAATTTAAATTATCAAGTTTTGCATGAAAAGAGATTGTCTAACCAAACTTCTAAACACAAGCAGTAGTTAGAAATTAAAAATATTTTTAAAACGATGGTTATTTTAGTTCTTCTTTAATTCAGGTATCTTCATCTTTAAATTTCGAGGTGAAATCTCAGGAGTTGGCATTGATCTCCTGAAAGGTAAAAGAAACCACTTTACATTTAAATCAAACATTGTAATACTTCTGATATAACCATTCCTACAACTCAAAGCTAGCTGAATGAAAAGTGAATGAATGAAAGAAAGAGATAAAGTAAAGTGAGGTGAATTGCTATTGAATTACATGAGTCAAGCAGCAACGGAAGACAGTTGTTTTTATTGTATTTTGAGAAGTTTCCGACTTGGGTATGTTTGCTTAGATCTAGGAATTCTGGCTGTCAATTCACTGTCTGTCAGTGAACAAACCCATACATGTTGTGTTAGATCTCTAAAAATATTAAAATGTGATGTCATACAGTAGCATATTATATAGAATATCTATATGTAGTACTTCAGGTAAGAAGTACATTTAAATAGATGGGCTAATTTGTATCATAACCACGTCCTGTGATGATTGTTAGGGGAGCTCATTGGCTGATGGTTAAAAGAATGGGATTTATATTGAACATATTTCATAAACGCACCTATTAAAACAGATCAGGCAATGCTGTAACTAGACAACAACATCCGCTGCTTTGTTTGCCAAATCCATAATAGATAGTCTAGCTACAAACCCTACCAGATATTCTTCATTATGTGGTAAGGTCAAATAAACAAAATCTTGTTTTTTAATTAATTGATATGTATGAGATATGATACATTTAATGAAAAGATTACTAATATTATTATTATTATGAGTGCTTTGTTTTCCATTGTTCAATACAATTGTTTTATTTTAGGGTCAAACAAAAATAGTATGTATGAATATACAGTAGCCTATTTGGTGTAGTAACTCACGTCATTGATCCAGCTAAGGTAGGCTGAGACCCTGGTAAACACAGTAGGTTTACGGTAGGCATTACATCCGAGAGATGACACGAAGCTGGTTACTCCATGGACTTCATAACCTCCATTAACAAGGCAGTTTAATGGGCCACCAGAGTCTCCCTGTCCAAAATACAAATGCACATTAAGCAATCAATTTACTAATACTAAGTCTTGGCAGGGTAGAGAAAACAGGGTAGGCAGTTTTTATCATCATGTAATATTAACAGACGATGGCCTTGATTTAGTCTTTTAGGATAATTCTTTTTTTTCCATGTATTGGTATATTTTTATATTTTTATATTTCAATTTTTTTTTTTTAAAGCTAATACAAAAATATTCAATAATTGGAAAAGATCGTGTGAAAATATTAAATCGAGGCCGATGTTTGTTAACAAAAACACTGCAGAACATTTCTAAGAGAAAAGAAAATCTGAAAAAAGTAATCATATGAAGTAAAATTCAATAGGACAATAAGAATGGTTTGTAAATAATTTAATTATTTTAACTTACCAAATGCCTTTTGCAAACTCAACTACATTAATAATTATTGAATAGTAAATTACACAGTGCTTAATCAATGGTCTTCAAAAAGATTATGTAATACAATCTATAAACCATATAAATCCCTTGTAGAATTACAACTCCCAAGGTGACTTGCCATTGATAGAATATTAGAGTGTAGTTTTGTACATAGGTTAAATAAGAAATATTTAAAAATTCTTACAAAACATCCAGAGTGAACTCCATTTCCACCAGCACACACCATGGTGGTCTTAATTGATTTTCCCCAGTAGGAACTAGATGAGCAGATTTCATGGGATACTACAGGCAGTGGGGCCTGCTGGAGGATAATAGCTTCTGCTCCATTACCTGCAGAACAAAATTATGGATTTTGTTACCGTAAGAGAACAAAAACATTTCTCAACTAATAGTTGCTTAAAGGGGAATCTCCAAAAATATATTTAGAAAGTAAAGAAGATCCCCAATAAAGAGGACCACGCAGGAAACACAGAATTTAAATAATTTATGTAAACTATCAGGTATTGTGAAGTGCTTGTGCTTTCATGTGTTATGGTGTAAAATATAAACAATAACATAAATACCTTACTAATTTAAAAATCATGGAACTCAAAGGGTTAACAAAAAAGGGTTTGTTTTATTTTGACAACCATTTTGATATCTCATATAATTCTTATAGATCAGGAGGTGATACTTTTAGAGAGAAAATGTGGAGTCAAAATCCATAGGTGGAATATGGTGCCACATCCTCTCAAAACTTCAACAGCCTCTACTGATTCATCCTATGGTGTTTAGTGGAACACATGACTACTACTTTTTACACTACTTTAATGCGTTCATTGTTTGGAATCAGGGTCATCTTTAATTTGGATAGGGCTCTGGGCAAACGTATTCTTATGAGCACACCACAAAACATCTTTGTAGAGGGGGCGTGGCCAACTGAGCGACTGCACGGACGTCTCTGAGCGAAGCTCCGTGCTCGATAACAGAAAAGAGACCTTTTGGCCAGAAATACAGGCTTGCCGAATACCACATCTCACCCCCCCACCAGCAGACACAATGGGGCGTAAGAATAAGAGAGCCCAGCACCCGGAGACATCCCGTTCTCAAGATATACGGCTCTCCTTTGACAGACCTATGCCGAGGCTGCAAACAAAGATGGCGCCGGAGGCGAGCAAGGGCCAGGACCAGGAGACGTCGGAGGACTCCCATGAGGAGGATGAACTCCCCACGCCACAATCAGGCGGAGAATCCGACGCACCTGAGTCAGATGAGGACTCAGCCCCAGCCACAAAAGGGGATATAAAGAGGCTCCTGCTGGACCTCAGAAAGGTATGGAGGGAGGACCTCCAGAAGGTCCAGACAGAGGTGGGGGTAGTCCACACCAAGGTCCGGGCTATAGAAGCAAACGAGGCACATAGGAATAATATGATGCAAGAGACTAAGGCACAGGTGGAAGGCTTGGCATCACAAGTGCGGCAGCTACATCGCACAGTGACAACGCTAGAAATGCGTCACAGACGCAGAAACATACGCCTCAGGGGGATTCCAGAGACAATAGGCACAGAGAACCTACTACAATATACACAGACTCTCATAGACTCCATGGGAATCAAGGGGGGGTCAACCCCACCACTGATCACTTCAGTGTTCAGAGTCAGGAAATCCCCAGCGGCGCCAGAGGGAACCTCCAGAGACGTAATAGCAGTGACACGCGACGTGTCAGTCAAGAACACGATCATGACACTCTCCAGAACACAGGGAAACATAACATACAGAGGGAGCACGTTGGCAATCTACAGCGACATTCCGTTCCCAGTGCTGATGGAGAAACGCAAACTGACTCCTGTGGCAAAGAAACTACGAGACCACTCAATAAAATACCGCTGGGGGGCAGAGGGATCCCTAGAAGTGACAACAGGTGACAAAGCGTACACACTGACGTCAGCAGATGACCCCGAAGAGCTGTATAAACGCCTGGAACTGCGTCCCCAGCCTCAAATAGAGACTCCCGCTAAACAGCACCAAACGGGCAAAAAAGAGGCGAACACTTACAAAGCTCAAAGACTGGCCAAACCTTCAGAGGGGGCCACATCCTGGAGCTGAGACACAACCTACTTCCACACCGCTGCTACTGGGCAAAACCCTACCCAACCCACACGCCCAGAGATCAACACACAAGTATACCAGGCAAAGACAAGAAAGCCGAAGGAGCCTCCAGAACGGAATACCAGCGACTACCAGCCACAACAGAGCAATCCGACACTGCTCCTCTCCAAATACCCCCAGAGAGAAGCAATCAGATACATAACAATTACCTACCATTGTAGATATATATTGTGATACAGTTGTGTTTTTCCTTTTTTTTCTGTACCCAGAATATTATATATAAAATGACAAGTTATGTCTTACTCATAAAAATTCAATAAAATACAAATTGAAAAAAAAAAAAACATCTTTGTAGAATCCTGCAATTATTATCTCTCCACAAAAATCTTTCCATAGCCCCAATATATCTTCCGAACAACCTATTAACTTCACTCTCCCTTGCCCCTATTAACTTTGGCTGTATATAGCCTGGAATGAAGGTTTCTGAGCTGCAGCTGTTACAGCCCCCTTAGAGAATATGGGGTCCAGGCCACTGCACTTTTTGGCCTGCATTAAAGGACCACTATAGTGCCCTGAGGGTGCCCCCACCCTCAGGGTCCCCCTCCCGCCGGGCTCTGGGGAGAGGAAGGGGTTAAACTTACCTCTTTCTCCAGCGCCGGGCGGGGAGCTCTCCTCCTCCTCTCCTCCTCCTCTCCTCCCTCTTCTCCTGAATGCGCATTCAGAGAAACTGCTATGTTTATGAATGGGTTAAGCCTTCCCCCAAAGCCTCTAGCGGCTGTCTCATTGACAGCCGCTAGAGGCGCTTGCGTGCTTCTCACTGTGATTTTCACAGTGAGAGCACGCCAGCGTCCATAGGAAAGCATTGTAAATGCTTTCCTATGCGTCCGGCTAAATGCCCGCGCAGCTCTTGCCGCGCTTGCGCATTCAGCCCAGGAGGAGGTGGATCGGAGGAGGAGAGCTCCCCGCCCAGCGCTGGAAAAAGGTACGTTTTTACCCCTTTCCCCCTTCCAGAGCCCCTTTGCCCCCACCCTCAGGGCACTATAGTGCCAGGAAAACAAGTATGTTTTCCTGGCACTATAGTGGTCCTTTAAGCTGAAGTGGTCTGGGTGCCTATAGTGGTCCTTTAAAGAAGGCCATGTTAAAATTAATATGATACACTATTGTAAAGGTAATTGATTTCACAAAATTAACTCACTGTCAAGATCACCCCATCCAGTAACTGTGCAGGGATAGTCATTTAAAAGGATAACATCAGCACTCGGGAGATTAGCCAGCTGCACGGCCTCATTTAGGACAGCATTGGAAGCCAGACGGAGAACGGCAATGTCATAACTGTAAGTTAAAGATAAAACCCATTCAAAAAGTTACAATAGTGAAGTCCATTATATTTTATCCGTGCATAAAGCAATTATTTCTCCATGATGGTGATCATTTTAAAGAGACACAACACTGAACAAACAGTCAGTAATATTTCTCCACTTGATGATAACATCTCTCCATACCTCATGTTTTCTATTGTATACAGTGAGGGAAAAAGTATTTGATCACCTGCTGATTTTGAACGTTTGCCCATTGACAAAGAAATGATGATCATTTTATAAGTTTAATGGTAGGTGTATTTTAACAATGAGAGACAGAATAATAAAAAAAATCCAGAAAAATGCATTTCAAAAAAGTTATAAATTGATTTGCATGTCAATGAGTGAAATAAGTATTTGACCCCTTCAACTTAGTACTTAGTAGCAAAACCCTTGTTGGCAATCACAGAGGTCAGACGTTTCTTGTAGTTGGCCACCAGGTTTGCACACATCCAGGAAGGATTTTGTCCCACTCCTCTTTGCATATCCTCTCTAAGTCATTAAAGTTTCGAGGGTGATGTCTGGCAACTCGAACCTGCAACTTCCTCCACAGATTTTTTTATGGGATTAAGGTCTGGAGACTGGCTAGGCCACTCCAGGATCTTAATGTGCTTCTTCTTGAGCCACTCCTTTTTTTGCCTTGGCTGTGTTTTTTGGGTAATTTGTCATGCTGGAATACTCAGCCACAACCCATTTTCAATGCCCTGGCTGAGGGAACGAGGTTCTCAAGATTTGACGGTACATGGGCCTGTCCATCGTCCTTTTTATGGAGTGCAGTTGTCCTGTCCCCTTAGCAAAAAAACACACCCAAAGCATAATTTTTCCACCTCCATGTTTGACAGTGGGGATGGTGTTCTTGGGGACATAGGCAGCATTCTTCCTCCTCCAAACACAGCGAGTTGAGTTGATGCCAAAGAGCTTGATTTTGGTCTCATCTGACCACAACACTTTCACCCAATTCTCCTCTGAATCATTCAGATGTTCATTGGCAAACTTCAGACGGGCCTGTACATGTGCTTTCTTGAGCAGGGGGACCTTGCGGGCACTGCAGGATTTCAGTCCTTCACGGCGTAGTGTGTTACCAATTGTTTTCTTGGTGACTATGGTCCCAGCTGCCTTGAGATCATTAACAAGATCCTTCCGTGTAGTTCTGGGCTGATTCCTCACCATTCTCATGATCATTGAAACTCCACGAGGTGAGATCTTGCATGGAGCACCAGACCGATGGAGACTGACAGTTATTTTATGTTTCTTCCATTTGCGAATAATCGCACCAACTGTTGTCACCTTCTCACCAAGCTGCTTGGCGATGGTCTTGTAGCCCATTCCAGCCTTGTTTAGGTCTACAATCTTGTCCCTGACATCCTTGGACAACTCTTTGGTCTTGGTCATGGTGGAGAGTTTGGAATCTGATTGAGTGATTGCTTCTGTGGACAGTTGTCTTTTATACAGGCAATGAGCTAAGATTAGAAGCACTCCCTTTAAGAGAGTGCTCCTAATCTCAGCTTGTTACCTGTATAAAAGATACCTGGGAGCCAGACATCTTGCTGAATGATAGGGGATCAAATACTTATTTCACTCATTGGCATGCAAATCAATTTATAACTTTTTGACATGCGTGTTTCTGGATTTTTTTGTGTTATTCTGTCTCTCACCGTTAAAATACACTTACCATTAAAATCATGGACTGATCATTTCTTTATCAGTGGGCACATGTTCAAAATCAGCAGGGGATCAAATACCTTTCCCCCTCACTGTAACTATCATTTTATAGAAATATCCAAGTCTTTGGTAAATGTTGCTCTGCTCTCTTGTGATTGTCCCACTAATACAAAGTGATGTTAGTGGCCTAAGTTTAAAGAACTAGTTTCTTTTAGATCAGGGTCTTCAATATCACTGCTATAGATTTGGATTTGATATAAATAATGGAAATAAATATATTTTATTTATAAATATTCTGCATTTAAGTGTAGAAAAACAGAAACATTGACCCAATACTCTCAGCAATGCTGCCTCTGATGTCCTAGATTTGGTGAACACACCAGCTGAAAAGGATAACAATCGACCAGTGAGCAATTGCATGTGTCAGTGCACACAAACAGACTTGCATTGTGGCAGCATATGCACGCAATCCCTGTGACAACTGAATTTTTCACACTGGAACTAGGCAAGCAGCTATCTATAGTGATATCACAAACATTTGTTAACAAGGCTAGAATTCCCATTTATATCCAGCTAATCTGCAGAACACAGTTATTACTTAAACGAACACTAATCACCACAACCACTACATCTTAATAGGAGGCCCTGTATCTAAACACAGTAAACAACAAATCTAGCTTTTAAAGATCTCCTACCCCATTTTTAAAATTTGTGTCTATTTCCTTACCCCTTCCCTATGTTGTTGGTATTCCAACTGGTGTGGTATATCACTTTATCCACAGAAATAACTTGCTCAGTGCCATCCTTTTGGTACAGGTGGTACTCTCCCAAGGCCACACGGTAGGAATCAGGGCTGTGTTAAGGAAATGTATAAAAACAAAATAAAAATCAACTTTTATGGTTTTAAGAAGTTAAGGACAGATACATCTTCAAAAATAAACTGGGAGAAAATAAACATTTTTTGATAAACCACATGTATTATTTTTCTTCATTAGCGCTGGCACGGATTTTGCCGTGCTAGTTTATTTTAACCATTCTGAAATAAAAAAAAAAAATGTAAAGAAGCTCAATATAGGGCAGAAATTAAAAATGACTAATTTATACAATATATCCCTAAAGTATGGGCAGTTCCTGAAAAAAAGTGAACTCTACAACAGGGTATTAAACCTATGTCAACTGTGAAATGTCTACTTTAGAGATGGAGGCAAAGATATGAGTTCAAGCTAGAGTTACCTGTCCACACAATGAGCAGCTGTCAAGACCCAGTTAGTACGGATCAAAGTGCCACCACATATATGGTACCAGTTGTCCCTATAGTTATATTGAAGAGAAACCTGTTGGGAAATAAAAGAGTTGAGGTGATGGTTAGTTCAGTCAGTTCTACTTTCAAGAGAAGAAGAGGTTGCATTCTAAAGAAACAGATATTGCAGTGTATGAATAAAAGGTGAGACCACACTAATTTTTAAAAAAGCATATTACAGAGACAACGCAAAGGAACTATTATCCAAATGGCGAGTGACGGAAATTAATTGGAGTGATAAGTTTATTTTTCTAATCCTAACTGTAATGGCTAACTTTAACGTCTAACCAAGCTCATATTTCACTGCTTGCTTATAATAAAAAAGCCTCTAACCATAATTGATATAGATCCAAATATTGATCTTTGTTATACTCAGAGGAAGCCCAAATTCTTATTATTTCAAGTGCACTTGGAGGAGCGTGAATTCAGACACCATACAACTGTTTACATCCAAAACCTTCTTTGGCTATCAGGCACCCAAACATTATTCTATAGTTTCAAATAAAAACAATAAACTTGTAATCAAACCATTAATAAGAATAATGGAGCACCCAATAGCTATTTGTGAGATCTTATCAAGCATTTTCACAATTAGATAAATTAATAACTGACCTGCCATGGCCAAGAATTTGGGATTGCATCAGTCCCTCCTACTACACGTTCATTTTCTATATACCGGAATTCTTCTTGGCAATAAGCTATGGAAACATAGGATAAGACTAGTAAATACAAACTCACAGACATTATGTATCACATTTCTCATCTTAATTTGTTTTACTTTACAGAGTAAAAATATATGAATGAAAAAGTATTTATTTATCAGTTGTTGCAAATTGAAAACCAAATAAAAAATACGCAAATTTCAGTTAGTTTTCCAATTTTTTTATTTGGTTTTGAATTTACCATTGTTCATTCGTAAATAAAGCCTATACAGTACGTTGCTTTTAAAATTCAGAATTAAAGTTAATAGAAAGCCAAATTGCTAAATTTATTTAAAGTAGCTTCTTTAAAAATATTCTTCAATTCAACTATGGACACAACTTATATTAGGCGATATTTGCCTAAATGTTGTCGATCAAAATTTCAGTTCACTGTAATCTGGAGTTTAGGCAATAACACGTTTGTACGTGTATTTCAGGTTTTTAAGTAACAATAACTAATGATTGTTGTTTCTTCACTAAACAGAGAATTATAGTAAGGTGTTAGCCAAATTGCAAAATATGGGTCAAACATATCCAACCTGTGACTGTAGCTGACTTAGTAAATTTTTCCATATGAGTATTTGTGTCTTTATTTTACCATTGTGCATGAACAAACTCAAGTTCGATCTTTGCTGGATACACTCCTCTGTATGGCTCATGCTTTGTATGCAAATAAGAACTGAATTATCATTATATTGCTGATTATGTTTAATTTATGTTATTGTTTGAAAATGTTTCTTTAGCAAGCTAATCCAGAAAGTGAGATTTGTTTGAAATCCAAAGAGAATTTAAAGTAAATTTAAAATTTAAGGCTAAAGTAACTGTATTGAAAACATAGCTGACTTGGAGATTTCTTCGCGGTTTGGAAATTTTGATCTTAAATATGAAATTCACTTTGAATTCCCAACAATACTCACTATAGTAATTAACAATGACAGTCAGAAACCCTCTTTCTATGTTGGAAATGTTATACTATTATAGTAAACATACCTCCCATAGCCCTCAGAAGAAAAAAAAAATATGCTCCCTTTAAATTATATTATGTTAAATAAAAATGATTTGCTATATAATGTATTGCCAAAAGGGTGACATGTTGTAATATATTAGCCATCTACTAAATTCTGATTGTGGCTGAAAGACGAGACAGAAAAAACAGAACTTACCTTAGCAGAATTAGATTTTTTGTCAACTAATTCATTCAAAATTTGCAATATAGTTTGTGTCTAACCAAATAATTACAGCTCACCATTTTATATATACAGAATCAAACATCCCTGCGAACATACATTAATGACATAGGTTTATGTTAGTGTATAGTTACATAGGCTAAAAGAGACTTGTGGCCATTAAGTTCAGCCTCTGTGACATCTGTTTTTGCTGTTGATCCAAAAAAGGCAAAAAAATAGGAAAAAAAATACCTTCCTGGCTTCAGAATGGCAGTCGGATTTCTCCTTGGAACAATAAGCTATTACCCACATATGTAAAAATTATATAGCTGATGTCTCTCATTAGTAAGAGCAGGTTGTCTTATGGTATAAAGATTTCCCCCTATGTTATCTTCTTGGAACATTATAATTCCAGGAAAATATTTCTGAACCTTATAAGTAAAGTATTGCAAACGGGAGCTTACCACAGAGTGCCAAAGCCGCAAGTAGAAGGAGTCTCAACATCATGCCTGAACCAGGTGCAAATAGAATGTAATGAAACTGTGGTCTAACATTTTATACACAAATTTTTAGTGGAAAAAAATGTGACTACCTTTAACATGAGCAAAAATAGAATTTCCGTTAGATAAGAAATGAGCATGTGTCCTTGATGAACGTTGCAACAGAAAAGCAAACAAACTAAAGGAAGCAGGACTTCAAACTAGAAATTTTTTTTAGGAAATTGGGTAATATATTAAAAGTAGGCAACAAATTGAGTTAATTCTAAAAAGGTTGTTATAAAATGCCAGACTTAACATATTTCAAGCTATCAGAATATAATAAACAGTGACAAATATAAAAATAAAAATAAAGAAGAGAAAAAGAATGAGTTTATTCCCCTTATTCTAAATTTTAGTACTAATAATAAGTCAGTTTGTAACATTTTTTAAAAACACTGGCATGCTTTAAAAGAGGATTTGGATATTTTACCTTTTGTAAGTGAACAGCCCAAATTTATTTTTAGAGGGGCTAAGAATTTTAGGCAGATTTTAACAAAAAGCTTTTTAGACAAAGAGAAAAGAGAAACTAATTTTTTTAGACAGACAGAAAGGTTTTTATTATTGCAATGATTGCACAGGATGTAGATTAAGGAAAAGTCCAAGTAGAAGCATTAAAAAATTCACATCCAGGAGGAATTTAGAAGAAGAGTATAAAATCCATACATTAATTACATGCAATACAACTAATGTTATATACCTTTTAACCTGTCCATATGGGTATCAGTATGTTGGTAAAACCACCAGAAAATTAAAGATAAGAATGGGTGGACATATTAATAATATAAAAAAGAGATTTATGAACCATAATGTCTCTAAACATTTTGCAGAACATCATGGAGGTAGCCCGGAAGTTCTTTCATTTTTAGGTATAGAGAAAATTGAAGTACACTGGAGAGGAGGATGTAAGGACAATATTTTAAGCAGAGCAGAGATGAGGTGGATGTTTAACCTCAATACCTTAACTCCAGAAGGTTTAAATGTAGATTTTGAGATGACCTCTTTTTTATAATATTTTTATAATATTTTGGCATTTATATTTATATTTATTTGTATGGTATATTTTATGGCTATAAATGTTTTTATTACAATATGGGTATTTTATGTCCTTTATAATATATTTATGGCTTATCTAATCATATATTATTTTTCCTCTCCCCACCTTTTTTGTAATATGGAATCCACAGAGTTTCTATATATGGTTAATGTTTTAACATTTTATATTACACATCTTTATGAATTGTATTGTACAGCCATAAGATATGTATATTTATTTTATTTTTTGTATTATTACTTTTTTGAGCATATATAATATGCAGTTCGATGTTAAATATAAGATTTAGATATTTTACTTTGACTTTTTAGCGCGCATGCGCATTTGGAACTTTCTTATGTGAAGAAAAGTTTTTGTGAAACCGGAAGTTCGTCATTCGAAGGGGACAGAAAAACGACTGCTGACCCGGAAGTATTTCGAGGGGAAATGCCGTAACCGGAAACCGGAAGTTGTGTAACGAAGATAGAAAACGCGCCTTTTTTGGATATTTAAACTTGACAAGTTGTTATTAGATTCAGCACTTTGAAAAAGACCATCGGTCGAAACGCGTTGTGCAGTTTATCCTTTATTGGAGATCCAGTTTTTATGCTGTATTGTACAAATAAAGATTTTGTTCCTGTATCTACACCTTTGTTTGGCGTTTGTGAAAACTGTCCAGAAGGAAAGTAGAGGATCTGCAGTGAACTTCTTATATCGTCATTCCAGCATTTTGGTCTCCTATTTACTTATCAAGGCACTTGTAGTCTGAGCCACTTTCTAAAGGCTCAGTAATATGTGAGTGAGATATTCTCTTCTCCATTTATTTTATTTCTATATACAGGCTATACTATGTTTTGTGTTTTATATTTCTAGGACACATACAGATACATGGTAATATTGCATGTTTTATATATTATCCACATTTGGCTTATTTATCACATATTTTGCTCTCACCATATTGTTTATTATATTCTGTTGGTTTTATTTTGTGTGATTTGGAGTGACACACACTTGGTGATTTTAAACAATTTTCTTCAATTTTCTCTTCTTCCCCCTTTTTTTTCTGTTTGATATTTCAAGCTATGTAATATGTTTAAGGTTAATGTGAGTGTGAGCCACGAAAAACCTATAATTTTTTTTTTAATTTTTATATGTAACCACGCCGTCTGATAATATTCTTCCGGTTGTACGGGTGCTTTAAAATATTTAACTAAACAGTAAGTTAGTGACATTTCACTTGAGCTCTGTGTTTTGCAGGGCCGGATCGCAAAGCAAACAAATCTCTCTCGCAACTTTTCATTTTAGTATCTTTTCGCTAGTAAGACAGTGCAAGATCACAGAAAGATTGGTTGTGTGCAAATTAATCCTTATGTACTGTTTGCCCCATTCAATTATGTAAATAAAATATGCAAAGAGGACTCTCACTGTATCTCTATCACAGTTTCATCCAGGCACACCATCAAGAACCCTAAAGAGAATCTCTTTTCTCAAAACAAGTTCATCATAATTGTATGAGTTGGAATACAAGCCAGGAAGTATCTCTGGCTGACCGAACTTGGAAGTGATTGTTTAAGATTCGATTTAAAGTCCTGTATTGCCAGTTTGACAATTTTGTCAACGGTAATACTTCAAAGGACAAGACCTCAGCACCATAACCACATTATAAAACTGAAGCCTAGAGTGTCGCTTAACAGTTTATTCTTCTGGAAGGCTAACCATAGTATCCAGGAATATTTATAAGAAGTACAGAGAAGGGGCATGTCTGCTGTCATATCCAAGTAATGAAAACGTACTGGCAATTTTTTTTGGCCCGTGGACCGGTTGCAGTAAGGTGTCCCAGTGTGACTTGCTGCAGTATTAAAATTAAAGAAATGTCTAAAATGAATGAGTCCTGGGAGGCAACATTTGTTTACAAGTAAGCAAACCAGTTTCTCTGCTATTAGGTCAAAAAAAATGAAAACTTATTTTTGAGTCAAATGTTAGTCTGGAAGCAAAGCAATATATTTTCTGCCAGTTGACCCTATAACATCACCACAATACAGGATGGATGGGAAGTAACTTCTAGGCATCTGCAATATCAGTCTTAGATACCAGACTCCTCTCTGGTATTAATAATGGGTTGTACGGTTTGGACAGCCAGGGCAGCTAATCCAGTTTCATGAGAACAATTACATATTTATGAAAACTGAAAACCAATACACATTCAGTTAAATACACATTCTGCTTGTGAGTCAGATGAGGATTGGATTCCTGAAAGCACTCGGTGAAGACAGAATGGTGATGGCAAAGGAGGTGAAATTGGCCATAAGGTTATATAGCATTGTCATTACTGGGATGTAAAGTTGTACCTACGTGTCTTATGGGCTGAATACAATAATCTATAAAATTCAAGTTTCCTAGCGGAAGCAGGGAATGAAGAAGCATCTTCTGTGAAGGTTGCAGTGAGGATGGACTGGCTGATTCTGACTGTACCACGAGGGAGCTGGGAGTAACAAACATCTCCTTGCTTAACAAACAAATAAGACAAAATCTTAACAAATTGGAGGAAAGAGCCATGATATTTATTTGTGGCATATGTTTCAAAGATACTTTATTTTTTCCATGAAACTCAATATAGTACTGTTGTGGACAAAAATATTAACCCAATTCATATTAATAAAATGCCTATTTACTCAGTATAACCACAATCAGCATTATTCAACTTTATATGTGATTTACCTAAAATGGCCGCTAGGGAGTTTCCTCTCGACATCGACTAACACCCTCATTAACAAGATGGCGCTGGAATCTGAGGGAGACCTCCAAGATACTAGTGACATCACACCCGGTAGGAAGAGCAATAAATGAACCACTTAACACCTAACCAATTATTGATGTATTATTCCATGTTATCTCTGACAATGCATATGATGTAATTTTGCTTTATAAGGGACATGCCGTCCCCTCGGAATAAACATTCCTCAAGTTTTTCATTAACCCGAAACCTGTGTCTGGTGTGAATTACTTTAGGAGCGTGCACGCATTACTTCTTTAATTTGGCCGGGGGCAGATACGCAAGATAATCAATTAATTGATTGATTCCACATCAAGTACTATTTAAATTTGTATTTATTTACTTTAAAAAATGACAATCTTTGTCATATAGCACAATGAGTTCTAGAGAAATCTACGACTAGAGAAAATAAAAAGCAAACATAACGCGTAGAAGGGTGTTATGTCATCAGAATAATGATTACAAAATTACTAGTTTCCCTATGAACATTTAATTATTACCTGCATAAATAAGGTTTTGTTCCGAGTGAAATCTATTTTGAGCAGTAGATGGCGATGAAGAGCTGTGAATCCAGCAAGCATTGTAACATTATAACTTTATAATATAATGAGTCAATTCGATGAAGATGACTACATGATTTTAATATATGGTGGCTCATATTGCTTAACCCTTTCTTTACTGAACCACAATACCAACAAATAAATAATATGCACATGGAAAAAAAATCATACTGGCATACCGTCAACCATTCCTGACACAGTTCCCGACACATGTCTTTCTGTCCTAAAACAGAAACATCATGTCATGTCATGGAGTGATGACTGACAAAAATAATATGTAGAATTGGTTTAAAATAAATTGCCTGAACCAAGATGTTCTGTATCAAGCAAAAATTCCAGAAATCGTTCTACAGGTTCGCCCACACCAGCGAATACGTTTCCAATGAGGTGATTGATATAGGGCACCGCTGATACATTGTCCATGCGAAGACGAATGCATGTGTTGGAAAAAACTCTGCACTGCAAAGGAACCCACCAGCAATTCCAGACAGTTGATGTGTAGGCCGGTTTTGTCCGGTGCCCAACATCCCAGGTTCAAAGACCTTCGCAATAGGCACCCACCCATGAAAACTGGCATCCAAATCTACAGTAAATTCTAGCTGAGTTTTGAATGGCATGTCCAGTCCATGTTGTGGATCCACTAATCAAGTTCATCCTTCGTTTCACGATTGAGAATAACCTTGTCTGTGTAAGAAGT